TTATAAGGTTTATATAAAAAAAATAAAGTGTTGTGTAAACAACATGAAAGTTGTTACCTATTTCCTTTCCAAAATACATATAAAATTTTCTCTTCAAAGATGCCCAGAAGGCCACGTAGAGAAATGTTTTACAAAAAATGCCTAGAAAATAACATCTTCACTAGGGCAATTTTCTTGAGCTCTTGCCAAGCTGTTTTCATGTACATCCATCTAACACAGGGACTCCTGCCTCCCCCTAGGCTCAGAACACTTCCACAGCTTCCTGAGTTTAATTTTACAATTCTCTTCTCCACAGCATTGTGGGGTTTTGTAACATAGATGAGAATTAAAAAAAAAAAACCACACACCAAATATTCTTGATTCGTAGTTGAAAAGAAGCTGTATATTGAATGCGGTGTATTTTAAACATTTCCTCACATTTACTATAACATCCTTTCATTCCACCCAAACTGCTTATGTGAACGTCTTTAGATATGGATATCAAAATCTGACAGATAAGTAGTTGGCTGAAAGCAGTTCACACATTCCTAGCAAAGACAGAAGCTTCTTATATTTACAGTCTTATAATTGAATTTCCTTAACTATTTTAAATTATCAACCACCTCTTTACTTGATTCTATTGTCTGCTTAAACCAAAGCTAACAAGTATCCTTAGTGGTATAAAAATTGTACAACCTCAGCCAACTATTTCCACAGTTCTTTCTGTATACAAGAATGTTTTTTAAAATTGGCATGAAGAGAGTATGTGTTATAAAACTTCAAATATGCTAATTAAGATTAGCTCTAATTCCAAATGAGAAATATATGCACTTTTTCATCGTTCGTACTAACGTAGAGTCTTGTAGTAGAGGGAATATTCTTGAAATATTATGATACCTAATTCTTCTTTAGAATTCAAAGTCTTCAAACCTTGATGGGTTTGAACTTAAAGGCATACATGCTCTACTTTTAATGCTTTACAAAACATGGCAGTATTTCTATCCAGTCATAATGCAAAGATAGATTGGTATTGATCTATTCAAATGATTGACTGAAAAATGCACTCCTGGGTAGACCAGTCTAAGACAAATACATCACTTTTATCACAAGGACTGATAGTATTTGTAAATAGCAAATGGTTTTCAACCACAACAGTTTTTAATTCCTAGACTCAATGATTAAAATATTTTACTCAGGCAAACCTTTTAGAGAATAAATGTCTTTGGGAACAGGCTACATTAATATTTGTTCAAAATCCTATGAAGGAGGATCAGGTAATCAGGTTATTATGCAGCCTCCTGAGGAACTTAACAGTAAGTTGAGAAGTTGTATTCCCTCCCCATCTCCTAAAGTGCTTCTTCATTTGAAGAAATTCACTGTGCATACCCTAGTCTCACACTTGAAAACAGTCCAAGGTTGCCAAGGTGGCCAAAAATAAATAGCAAACCAGTTGATGTGTTCCATCAATGTAGGTAAGCACCTGACTGACGTAAATCTGTATGGTTTTGTTATGTCTCTCTCTCAGCCTGGACTAGAAAGGAATGCAATGGGAGAAGTGAGCGTTGCATATGCGTGGGTGTGAGCA